CAAAATTTTTATTATGGGCTTAATTGGGAATAAAGGAGGAAGAAGAGAAATGGAGGGATGAGTGATTACAAGGGTGGCGACAATGAGTGAAGAAAAGGAAGGGTCAGGGGTAAGGGAACGGGGAGGAATAGATAGAGGTGGATCTTTTTATTTATTTTTTATATTAAATTTTATGTATTCACGCGTTTTATACCCATAATTAACACGCAATTGACCACATAAGCATAGTCAACGGTCAAAAGTGTTCATTACTATCCATTTCCTCAAGTAAAAAGTGTTCAAATAGGAAACCCAAAAGTTCATATATCGGCTTTACAAACTGATGCAAGTTTAAGTGGCCATTTCGCCATTTCGCCATTATATATATCAAGTAGTTTTCTGTGTACAAGTTCAAGGATGTAGAAAATTACAACAGGGTTTCTGGTACTAAATACATGAATCAAAGGCATATATTGCCAAAATCCAATAGATATAATTATTGAAAAAGAAATCACTTTTTTGTTTCTAGGAGTGTTTCAAACTGTGTTCAATTCGTTATAATACTTTCTTATTCTAATCGTAAAATTTGCTGTGGCTTTTTGTTGAATAAGGGCGGTTGCAGATTTGTATCATGTAAAAATGAGATAAAGGATGAGTCTACCTTCGTTGAAGCAAATTGAAGTGCTGGTATCCCCAGAGGGAACAAAATGTCTTTATTTTTCTTTTACATGCTTTTTGCTGCACATGTACCTTTCTTTTTAACACAGACATGTATAGTTATATTAAAATTCACCTTTCCTTTTAGCACAAATATAAATTTTGATTTGATAATCTTTTTTAAATTGCATCAACACAACAATTGGCAACTAAAATTAAACTATTAGTGAATGATTCAAGTTCTTACACAGAAGTTTGCCGCATTGGAAGCAGTTGTATTGGAGACATCATATACTGTTGTTTGATTTTCAGTAGCTTGCATGGTCCAGAGAGACAAATCAGTTTGTGAGAATGCGAGGTCTTACTGAAAACATATGCATAACAAATTACTACAGCTCTCTGAAGAGGATGGCTAGTATTCATACTCAACTTCAGATTTCAGTCGCATTAAGACCGAATCTCTGTTCCCTTTCCCCCTTTGTGAATGAAGTATGAATGTTAGTATAACTTAACTAAATTTAGGTGCTTCTTGTTATTTCACTTGCTTCCTCATTCGTGGTCCAGTGTCTAATATAGTGCCCCCAGACAAAGAGAACCTGGAGGCGGCAAAACTTTTTCTGCGTATTTTCTAAATCTCTGACCTAGAAGAATCAGAAGAAGAAACAAAGTGGAGGTATGTGAGATAATTTAGCCCTAGCGAGGGGATTCCTGCAGACAAAGTGAAACATGTTAATAAATTTAGTTCTCTAGGTGTTTGATAAAATTCTTCAATCAGGTTTTCTATTAAATTTCTTATGCATGGTCCTGTCTTTTGTTTTCTCTGGTTTCATTCTTTGGTTGCATTTTGAGTTAGGGCATTTTGACGCACGAATAGGAAATCTCTGCCTGGCATTGCAAGAAGTTTCATTAGCTTAAGTGGTGTTTTTGAGTTGAAAGCTTTCTTTCAGTCTTCGTTTTAGATAGTCATCAAGATTGATTTTTCTTTGCTTAAGAAATAATTTTGGTTTACTAACAGAGATATCCCGAGCGGCAGTGGCGCAAGGTTTGAAATTCATGTATTATGTAGATAGCTCTGCAATTTGGATCCTTCTTTAGCTACTATTATTTTGGTGTATTTTTACCAACAAAGCGGACATCATTAATAAAAATTTACAATGTTTGAATCGATTGAAACAATAATTATTTTACTGCTTGGCCGGAAAAACTTTAACATCCTGCTATAAATTTGATCAATTAAAGAGAATTCCCTTTCCCTTCTTCTGGATACCATGAAACCTTTGTTGTCAAATAAAATCTAAATAGTGACTAAATGCAGTACTTGTGATATTCGAATTTGACAGTTGCCTCCTACCTCCATGACAGAGGCAACATGTTTCTTCTTTTTTTTTTTTTTTTTTAGTTTCTCTTGATGATATGTGGCCTCTTAACTAAGTTATCTATTGTATCTTAATATTCACCGACTCTTTGGATGGTTTATCTATACTCACTGACTCTTTGGATGGTTTATCGAATAGGTAATATAATTTAATTAGCAATGGATGTAAAACATCATGTTAACTGCTCACGTTACAATACAAACTATCATATTATATCGAGTACAAAAATCTATCTGATAAATTAAAAAGGATACGATTAAGACATCAAACTTCGCTTACCTTCTGTGCTTTTAGCACTACTTCTGGCATTGTATAAAATCATTGAATATAAAATATTTGAAACTTCCTTTTCAGGATAAATACACAAAGGAAATTTTTTTACCTGTTGCAATGCATCTACGCCGTCTCCTTGCTTGTTCTTCTGTCTGTTTTCTTGCAAATGTGGGGAAGTGTTGCATATACATAGCTTGAAGGAGGAGGATTTAGTGTCTATTATGCGTTTTCATTTGTTGCTTCACAGGTGTGAAGTTATTCTTCTCTGTTACGATAAAATTGTTTTTTATCCACCAATGTCTTCTCCTATTTCGTACAGTAATCTTAATAATGTATATGACATTGTCAAACAGTTTGTCTTTATTAGTAATCTAGCTGAAAGGATTAAAGTATTTCGGTGTTACAATACTAATTGCAGTATTTCTTCGTACAACAAATCCTTACTATCTGGTGTAGTTTTCTTTGAACCATACCAAGATTAGATAAAATACATGTTGTTGTCTCAAATGAAGTGCTTGCGTGTGACGTCAATGATATATTAGAGCTCCTAAAATACTATATCTTTAATCAATTACTATTTTGGTGATTTTACATATTAGAAGAACATAATAATTCCAATGAATACCTTATTATTTTGCACTTTTGGTTTATTTTATAGTGAACTATTTTTAATTTGGAAATTACTTGAATATTAACTTATTGAATATTGGGTATCATGGATTTTGCTTATTGTGTTTACTTTTGGTTGCCTGCAGATTTGTCACTGTGAGACTTTCGGTACTTAAAACTCCGAATTCACATACAAGTAAAAGATAATTGCAATGTGTAGCCAATCTGATCCTCACGCTTTCGCTTTCTCTGCAGCTGGGGTTCTTTAACTTATCCACACCGATATTTCTTACAGTTTTTTAATTTTTTTCTCATTTCCTCTTCGCACAATCAAATGAAATTTTCATCTGATTTTCTGTTTGACTTATGCGTTTAAAGGATATCCGTGCTCTATATGTTTTAGAATTTGTTTCATTTCCTCTTACCACTATGGATTTACATAGAAGTATCAGTTTCAGTGCAAATAAATGTTGCACCTTTATTTTTCCAAATTCATGGCTATTGTCACTAAACAAAAAGGAGTAGTGAGTGCAGCAGGTAATCTATATGCACTAACTTAAAAATCCAAGATCTGCTTCTATTTTCAATACAAAATGATACAAGCCGGATGAGCACGCTTAATGAGGATGATTTTTTAGTCAACATCATAGCATTTGAGTGCTTTAAAGGAACTTTTGATGATGGATTGATAAACAATGACTAAACCTTGAGAGGTTTAGGGTATCTTTTATTTCTGGCAAAATACATACTTTACCCATCGACCTTGTCCCCAAATCACGCTTACACACCTGTTAAATACGGGAATCATATTACACACCACAACTTTTAAAGTTGTGTCAATTATACACCACTTTGGTATTTGACCACATTTGCTTAAAGATTTCTATTACACGCGACAATCAGCACCTGACACGTGTCATAAATCGGAAAAAAGAAAAAAAACTGGAAAAAAAACCTCTGCCCCACCACCTCCCCTCATCTTCCCAAAGAAAAAATACAGAAAAGAAAAACCCCACTCCCTCCTCATCTCCTCAACCCCATCATCTTCTCCACCACCACCATAGTACCACCAACCCTTCCACTAGAATCACCTTCTTCCCTAACTATAGATTCAACTCTTTTGTCCGATTTTTAAAAAGTTTTAACAATATCCATCACAAATCCTTATACAAATTTCAAATTCAAGCTCAAACCCAAAACTTCAAACTTGTTAATGGTGTTTTTTGAATTTTATCAAAATTAATCACCTAAGTAAATTTTTATTCAATAATAATTACGAAATCAAACTAATTTTCTAGGTCATGGAATACCAAAATCAACAAGACCCAATTAAATTTTCAAGCTTTTTCAAAAGGTCAATAATGATGATTTTTACAAGACCCAATAACTCATCTTTTCTTCTTCTTTTTCGTTTTCTTCTTATTCATGGGGGGTGGTTGGAAAGACGAAAAATGAGGGGAGTAGACAAAACTAGGATGGAGGTTGGGAAGAAGACGAGGGGGGAACGTTGGGGTGTGGGTTGGGGAAGAAGACATGGGTTATTTTTTCTTTAATTTGGAAAGAAAATAGTTTAAAAGGGGAAAAGCAAAAAAAAAATAATTTCAGATGAATTTTGTAGTTTTCACGCGGCACTTTTATGTGTAATACACGCGTGTGACACATGACAAAAGAGGTGTGTAATTGATACACTTTTAAAAGTTTTGGTGTGTAATATTATTCTCGTGTTTAACAGGTGTGTAAGAGAAATTTGAGTACAAGTTCGATGGGTAAACTATGTATTTTGCCTTTATTTCTCTTTATTTACCACGTTTTCTAGTTTATCTTTGTTAGGTTTATCATGTATGAGTTCATGTTCATACTCTTGGATTATCTTTTGTATTTGAATGTCAATTCATTGTTCTAGTTGATATACCTTCTAGGGGCTTGGATTGCATTCTTTACTTAGCTTAATCTGTATATTTCTTATTAATGTTCTTACTCGATTAGTGTTTATCATATTTTTTATTGAATTTACATTCAAGGGGTCTATTGTCTTTCTCTATTTTAAACCCTAATTTTTATCTTTTTTGATTCCGTATATTTTTACATTATTTGTACTTTCAATACGGTTTCGTATCATCTTGGTATCAGAGCGAAGGATTTGGATTGTGGTATCAATCATTGGTCTTTGTTTTGATTATCATAATCTGCAAATCCAAAAAAAAAAAAACAAGTTCCAAAAAAAGAAAGGTACTGTTCATCCGGGTTAAAATTAGAAATAACATTGTTGATTGTTCTTCACTGTTTGATTTAGAAATTCGAATTCCTCGTGCTCGTTGTTGATTTTGGTTCTGAGATCTCCGATTTCTTCACTATCTGACTTGGAATTACTGAATTGAGCTTGGACTTCGAAGTTTGTTTGAGAATTGAAACCTAAATCGATCAACAGCAGAAATCGAAAATTGGGGGATTTGCTCCGAATCGAAATTTTGAGCTCGAAATATATTGGGTGTGTTCTAATCTTGTTGGTACAGCTTGATTGAGGTGAAATCTGAAGTTAGGGCTCGATTACAACTGAATTCGAGCTGGTTGCTAGGGTTTTGGGTTCGAAACTTCGAACTGATTGTCGACGAGGAAGACGATTGTAGACGAGGAAGACGACGCTGGGTCTTCTGATTTTGGGGATTGATTCTCAAGCTATTCTGAAGCTGAATCTGAAATTTGGAGTCGATTGAAGTTTGTTTGAACGGTTTGAGTACGAAAATTAAGGATATTGACTTGCCGAAGAAGACGACTTGTGCTTGCTTGGATTTCGTGTCTGCTTGCTGAGATTAATTTCTGGGGGTTTGATTCTCTGCTTGAAAGGAGCTCATTATTCAAAATTGATTCCACTTGGTTGAGCTTTGGGAGAAAAATCACTGCTGAGGCTCGAGGATCCTAAGAACACCAGTTGCAAACTTGAAGAACTTCGCGGACTGATTCGACTCGATTCGAGCAGCTGGTAAATTGATGAAGAACACTTGTAGAGCTAGTGATTGCAATTCATTAGTCGCAACGATTCAGGTTTGAGTTCTTCTTGCTGTGCTCTTCAAGTTCTGGGAATTGAATATAGCTTCTAATTGTTATTATAGTCCTAATCCATCGAGTGCATGGTGTAAGCTACTGTTGGGTTTGGTTATCTTCTTGTTGAATTCGTAAAGTGGACTCAAGATTGTTATTGGTTCAAATTACTGTTTTGTTCTTTTGGAAATTCAGCTGGGATTGTTGACTGATTTTATAAGTTTCACTTGATGAATAATGTTGTTGTGAACCGAAATTTCGAACTGAGTAATGAACAATAGCTATTATTGGGAGTGAAATCTTCAGTTGCTGAAGTTCTTGCCAGTTTTTCAGCTTGTTTAGCTCCAGTTCTTGCCAGTTTGAAAAGCATTATTTACGACTCAGCTGTGTTAGCTAAATACTGCAAAGTTTGAGTTGAGTGTTGGTTTGAAACGATCTGCTGTAAATTTATTTGAGAATTATTGAACTGGTTTTGTGAGTCGACTTGTTTTAATTCATTGCTGCCCTATGAACTCTTTAGAAATAACTTTGGTTGAATTCTGAAATTCTGGAATTAAAAACAGCTTCTGGTTTCTGAACTTCTGAGAGTGGAGTTGAGACTGTTTGGTTCAGTTCTATTTTGAAAGGCTTTAAGTTGAGTTAACTGAGTTTGGGTGATTGTTACTGAAACACTCTGTTAATAGCTGTTGCATTTTGAAGAAAGGCAGAGAATTGCTTCAGGTTTGGGACAACATATGTGCTGATAAAGTCTGCTCAGCTTAGGCATTCTGTCCAGAACTTGCACCAGTTATTTGCTCCAGTTATCTGCTGAAATTGAGCAGTATTTGACAGCATTCCTGCACCATTTTGAATCTGCAATTTCTACTAAGTTTGAGCAGAGTTCTACATTGTTTAACAGCAAAATTACAGTTGAGAAATGTTTCTGCCAGCTACATTGTGAACCAGTTCTGCTGCTGAAGTTTGAGGAGGATTTTTTTAAGTTGTGAGTCTCTTTTGGACTGAAATTCATCTAGATTTTTTTCTGCAGTTTTTTGTTGTGGACTGTTTTCAACAGCATAACTTCTGCATTGCAAATATGACCAAAATTTGAAAAAAGTGTCTAGTTTTGTAGTTTCTTTTCTTTTCTTTCCTCCAGTTTGTGGTAAACCAAATTCTCAACTAGACTAACTTGATATTAGTTCATATTGAGTTTATTTCTAGTTTCTTTGTGTACTTTGTTTATTTCGTGCCAATTTTTTGTGCTTTTCTCTTTTGATTTCGTTGTGCATTGTTTGGCTCAAGTCCGTTAGTTTTTAATTGTGCTTTCTTTGGTGTCACATATATTCCATTCCGAACCGATACTTGATTACCTACTTGGATTGATTTGAGTACGTTGGTTGTGAAGAGAACTTTTAGATACCCTTGTGTGGAAAAAGGCTTGAGTGGTGAGTTCAATTGAGCGAGGTCACAAAAGCCTTTGACCTTTGATTGTAAACACGAGTGTTGAGTGACATATATATTGAGTATTACACTAAGGGAGTCAACAGTGAGGTCTTATTTTTGAATCTTGCTTTAAGTTTTCTTTTGTAGGTACAAGGAGTCATAAGGGAGGTATGGATGGTTATGGCACTTCTTCTTATGAAACTAATTGTGCTCCTCCAAGTGTTGAAATCTTTTATGATGAAAGTGGGAGAAAGATAAATTTGAGGCATTATGTAGCGAATGTAGAAGGCTATGAAGGTTGTTTGGTTGCTATAAGTACTCACTATACGACCAATTTTATTGCTTCTTTTTGTTGAATGGTTGGGATTGAGTTGTATTCCAAGGGAATCGCTTTATAAATTTCGGGGTGAGTTGGTTGATAGAGGTGTGATGGTTACTGTAACCAAAGGAGACTTTAAAGAAGTGGTTTGGTGTGATGTATACCCTATGAAGTATTGCCATGTACGATTGGGAAAGCCTTGGTTTCTTGATCATAATCTTCCTATTGATGTAGAATGGAATAGGTATGTGGTTGATATAAATGGAAGGGGGCATTCCTTCATTCCTAAACACTTTGAGGATAAGTTGTTGGCAAGGCTAGATATCGGAAGGAGTTTGGAGTGCAAAGCAATTCGCAAGTCCTTCTCCTAGTCCAAGTGGAGATTATGATGCTTATACTATGTCAAGCCAAGTTGTATCTTTTGATGCTTGTTACAATGCACCTTACACTTATCCACCATCCCACTACCAACACCAACTACAACCCCCAACCACATTTCAACCACCACAAGTACATCAACTACAACCTTATCAAACTTCACCACAACCTAGACCACCACTAAATTTAGCTTCACAACATATGCAAGCACCACCAAAGAGGGACAATCTCCCTCCTCCACTACCCGTACCACCTCACGAGCCTCCAATGATTAACAACCCACTTTTTCTACATGATCATGAGACCACATTGACTGAGTTGGACGACATCCAACAAGTTTCTAATGGAGAATATAGGAGGAAAGAAGATATGTTGGTGAGAAAGGCTTTGTCTAGTTCTATGGAGGAAGAAGTGGAAAATACACAAAGGCATAATATCTTTTACTGTAGATGTTTGATTTTGGATAGGATGTGCACATTGGTAATTGATGGAGCAAGTTGTGACAATTTGGTGAGTGCTACCTTGGTGAAAGAGTTAAAGTTGGAAACTTTCAATCATCCTACACCTTGTAAGTTGCAATGGTTGAATGCTTGTGGCGAACTTAAAGTGAACAAAGTAGTGAAGATTCCTTTCATGATTGGGGATTACAAGGATGAAGTAATTTGTGGGGTTGTTCCATTACATGCTTGCCATATCATCCTTGGGCGACCTTGGTTGTGTGATAGAGATGTTTTGCATCAAGGAAGGAAGAATCACTATTCTCTTAAGTGGAAAGGCAAGTTGGTGACACTTGAACCCTTGGAACCAAGTCAGTCTTGAAAGCGCAAATGAGTTTGAGAACATCCTTGAAAAATATTAAGAGAAAAAGTAAGGATGGGAGACAAAAGAAAGAGAGGAGTGAGGGAGAGAAAAGTGACAACTCTAGGGTGGAAAAAGGAGAGGAAGAGCTTGACAAGAAAATGAGAGAAAAGAAAGAGGAAAAACAAAAAGAGAGTGAGGATTTTTCTTATTCTAATGCTACTAATCTTTCTTCTTTCTCTAGTTGTTTTGTATCTTGTGTAGGGACTTTTGGAGAGGAGCCATCAAGTGACATTCAACCAACTTTAAAGAGCTTGAAAGAAGATCAATATATCTTTTCAAGAGAACTTATGGAATTCATTGAGCAAGTTCAAGGTAAAGAGAATACTTTAGAAGTGCTTCAAGGTAAAATAGCTTATCCTTCTTCTCTCGATACTTTAGTTGATTGTGGTGACACTTTGAGTTTGAAAAATAGCTATGCTATTGATGAGTTTGATATTTCTTTATCTTGTGATGAGAAAAAATAATTGTGGCTTGCAACTAGCTAAGAGTTTTTCTGGATTATTGGATGATTCTAGTTCTTTGTTTAATGACTCTTTAGCTAGTGATGATGTTGAGTCTTATGATAGTCCACCTTTATGGGATGATGCATGTGATGATTCTTTTGACTCCACTTTAACCTTGTTGGTAGAAAGTTTTGAACTTTATGAAGAAACGAGTCAAGAAGAATGTGTTGATGAATTTTTTGATTCTATTTCCATTCCTTTGGAAGAAAGATTCAATTTTTATGATGAAATGGGCAAATTTGAATGTGGTGATTTGGTTGATACTAAAAAGGAAAGTAAAGTTTTTTATGCTAGCATTAGTATTAATTGCTTTACTTATTTTGTTCCTACTTTTGAAAGAACATTCTCGTTAGATTTTGCTAATGCTTCTATGAGTAAAGGTAAGAATATTACTTTTGGTGGTTTGATTGATCATTGTAAGCAAAAACAACCTAACTTTATTGATTATTTTGTGAAGAGGATAAGCTGCTAAGGGTAAGGAAGTCTTGAAATAACACTTTGGCATATTATTTGTCAAGAGCATTTTCTTTTGCTGGAAAACAAGAAACCAATGTACATTTGGCTTATGCTTATCTTGTGCTTATCTAAAGCCATTGAGGTAAAGATGCATAACTTTTTTGATATTCTTTGTATGATTATTCATGGTGAACTTGGCCGATCTCTTAAGTTGCCATGTGAAATTGTTGTTGGAAAGTATATGGATACTCGGGGATTAAAGTTTGTTTTTGACCCCGGAGTTGTTTCTTATTGTAGAAATCCTGGTTATCAGCAAATCAGAAAATAAGAAAAACGAAAATTTTCCAAAAAAATAGAAAGTTTACTGTTCATCCGTGTTTGAATTAGGAATTGTATCTCATTGTTCTTCCTTTGTCTGTTCCAAAGAGAAACTCGAAATTCCTTGTTCTCTTGCTCGATTTTGATTCTGAAATTTCTGAATCCCTTCATTATCTGAGCATGTATTACTGGTTTGAGTTTGGGTAAGCTGGGATTGAGCTTCTGAACCCTAAGACGTCGAACATCAGAAGCGATTTGGGAATTTTTTATTCCGGTTCCGTGATTTGAGTTTGAATTCGATTGGGAGTTTGGGAACCTAGTCGACATCATTTTAAAGCTGAATCGGAAGGATTAGCTTGATTTGAACTGATTTGCTAGTTTTTGGTTCGAAATTTTGAGCTGATTGTGCGAAGAAGAAGACGACCTAGGGTTCGTTGATTTCGTGAGTGTTTGTTCAAATTAGTCACTGGGATCCCTACACCTGTTGGGAAGTTGCATTCGTAGTTCTAGATTGATTGGAACTGATTTGATGCGATTTTGGTCAGAAAACTTTCAAACGGAATCTGCGAAGAACACGACAGGCTGGGTTACTCTGATTTCGTGATTGTCTCTAGAAATTGGTTACTGGGGTTTGATTCTTATGCTGTTTGGAAGTCGAATTCAAGGTGTGAGTCCGTTTGATGAAGATTTGAGTTAGCTGGGTCGAAATTTGAAGAATACCGAAGAGCTGATGTACATTCTTCAACTGCTGTGGTCTTCACCTTTTGGGTTTGAGTTTTGGGGAAGATTTGATGACATCGAGTTGACATTGTCGCTGAAGAACACCTTGCTGTTGAGTTCTCAAAATTTTGAGCTGGTTCTGTAAAGAAGGACGGTTTATTACTTCGAGTTTCTTGGGTTGAAACTAATTGATTTCTGACATCGAAGACACAAACACAAGCAGCTCAGAATCATCGTAACAAATCAGGTTTGATTCTTTGAGTTTCAACTGAACTTCTACTAGATCGTCCTGAGTAATTGATTTGAATGAACTCGACTCGTGTTGCTTAGCTTAATTTCTGAGTGTTGAGTTGAAATCCGTCGTAGCTACTACAAATTTGATGCTCCATTTGTGTTCAATTTGTTGCTGCCAATTGTGATCTCAATCTTTGATTGAGTTTCTGAGTTGTTAACTGAAACTTCATCTATGTTTTTCTGGATTAGTAACTGTGATTTGATAGAGCTCTGTGCGATCTTGAGTTTGATTTTCTGAGATTGAGAACTAAGTTCTTCTTGAACTTTGAGGATTGAAGATACAGGAGAGCTCTAGGACTACATTTTCTAATAACTGAAACTCAATTCTGTTTACTTGTTTCTGCTGTTGAAATTTGTGATAGTTGAAGTTCTGCTGTGATTTATCATTGATTACTGGGGATTTTGAGTTGAATTTAGAGTTAGTAGCTGATCAGTAAAGATATTAGAAGGCTCCAAGTTTCTTGTTTCTAAGTTTTGAGCTTACAAATTCCCTTGGGGAGCTGTTGCATTCTGAAACTATGAGCTGAAAAATCAAACTGGTTGATCTTAATCAGAGCTGAATTTAGAGCTGTGGAGATTGTTTGGATTCTGCAATTTTGAGATCACTGAACCAGTTAAACATAGATTCACATAGCCTTGCTTCCGACCAGTTTTAGGCTGCATATTTTGCGAGTTTCTCCCAGTTTTTGAACCCAAGTTTGAGCTGCTGTTTTGAGATTGTAAGTCCAGTTATAGAATTCTGCACTTTGGAGCTATTTTGAGCAGAAAATCAGGTGCTTCACCACAAGATTGCAGAAGTCCAGAAGTGTTTGTCCAGTTGTGTCAGCTAGTAAATCTGCCCTGTTTCTGCACTGGTTGAGCAATAGATCTGCACAATTTTGAGTGTAATTTCTGCACATTTGAGCTTGTTCCTGCACACTTGCACAATTGCTTGCTGCAGTGTTTCTGTTTATGGTTGGAGAGTTCTGGACAACTTTGAGACTATATTGCTGCACAGTTGGGAAAAAAAAAAAAAGCCAAACTTCTGCACTTTGTCTGCACTTTAGAGCTGCTGAAACTGCAAAATAGGACTGCTGCGCCTTCTTGTTGAGCTGATTTGGGGACTTCACTTAGCCAAATTGTTGAAGCAGTTGGCTGAGAAACATCAGGGAGTTGAGACTAATCTGGAAGGGATTCTGCAAAGTTCAAAGGGTTCAGAAGTTCAGAAATATTTCTGTCCAGTTGTTAATTTTTCTTCTGGTTTGTAAACTCTCAACTAGATTAACTTGATATTAGTTCAAATGAGTTTAATTCTAGTTTCTTGTGTGCTTTGTTTATTTCGTGCCAATTGTTCCGTGCTTTTGTCTTTTAATTTCGTTGTGAATTGCTTGGTTCAAGTCCGTTTGCTTTTAATTGTCCGTCCTTGTGAATACACAACTTCCACTCCACCCCGAAGACGGTTGGAACTTGTTGTGAAACCTTGGAACTTAAGTTTGCTAGCAATTTTGACATACACTACTTGAGCGGAAAAAGGCAGGAGCGAATAGGACTTTGAGCACGCAAGAACCAATTGGTGCAAAGTGTGATACACGAGGGTTGAGCGACATCAAGTGAGTTGGGGAGGACTTTTACTACTAACTTGTTTGCTCGTTTTGTAGGTATCATGGAGTACGGACAAACTTCTAGTCCTACTTGTGATCTAAGGAGTGAGACTCCGATGCATGAAGTTGTTTCTATGCTTTATGACATAGGCGAGAAGGTCACCAACTTAAATGAGAAGGTTACCAATATTACCATATGGCAACACCAAACAGATGCAAGGTTGAATTCCATGATAGAGGAATCTCACTTGAGGCAACAGAGAAAGGAGCATAGTATGACGCTTACTAATTCCTCTACTACACCCTCTCCTTCACAAGTGCGACAAATGCTTCAAAGGGAAAATTTACAACACAACCAACCCAACCAAATACCACAAAACTTACCAAAGCGACCACATTCACTAAAGGGACCTTATTTTCCTCCACCAAACTACCGACCACCTACCCACTACCAACACAAACCACCATTTAGACCTCAAGCACACATACCAATGATACCACCACCCCAAATGACCCAACCTAGACCACCAATGAATATACCTCCCCAACATATGCCTTAAGTACCACCATGGAGGGACAATCTTCCTCCCCCACCACTCATGCCACCTCAAGAACCTCGAATGATGAACCACCCGCTTTTTCAACATGACCAAGAGGACTCCTTGAATGAGTTGGACAACTTCCAACAAGTTTTCAATGTCGAATATTAGGGGGATGAAGTGAACCAAAGGGGAAGAGGCCAAATAAGTTTGAGAACATCCTTGAAAAATGCAAAGAGAAAACGTGAGGATGAGAGACAAAAAAAGAGAGAAGTGAGGGAGAAAAAAGCGACACCTCTAGAGTGGAAAAAGGAGAGGAAGTGTGGAGTGAAGTGAGTGAGTTGTCACAAGAAAAGAGTGAAGATCTTGAAAAGAAAATGAGAGAAAAGAACGAGGGAAAACAAAAAGAGAGCGAGGATTTTCCTTATTCTAATGCTACTAACCTTTCTTCTTTCTCTAGTTGTTTTGTATCTTGTGAAGGAATTTTTGGAGATGAGCCATCAAGTGAAGTTCAATCTACTTTGATGAACTTGGAAGAAGATCAAACTTCCTTTTCAAGAGAACTTTTGAAATTTAATGAACAAGTTCAACGTAAAGAGAATTTCACTTTAGAAGAGTTTCAAGGTAAAATAGCTTATCCTTCTACTCATGATACTTTAGTTGATTGTGGTGGCACTTTGAGTTTGAAAGATAGCTATGACATTGATGAGTTTGATACTTCTTTATCTTGTAATGAGAAAAATAGTTATGGCTTGCAACTAGCTAGGAGTTCTTGTGCATTATTGGATGATTCTAGTTCTTTGTTTAATGGCTCCTTAGCTAGTGATGTGTGTGATGTTGAATCTTATGATACCCCACCTTTATGGGATGATGCATGTGATGATACTTTTGACTCTACTTTAACTTTGATGGAAGATCGTTTTGACCTTTATTAAGTAATGAGTCAAGAAGAATGTGTTGATGATTCTTTTGATTCTATTTTTATTCCTTTGGCAAAAAGATTCAATTTTTGTGGTGAAATGAACAACGTGAGTGTGGAGATGCATTGTTGGAGAGTGAACAATTTACTCATAATGACATAAATATAAAAGAAGAAAATTTCCATTTTTATTCCAATGAGTTGACTTCTCTTGTTTTTGATCTTGATGACTCTTATGCATATTTATGTGATGATTTTGTTGAGTGTGAAAAGAAAAGTAAAGTTTTTGATGCTAGCACTAGTATTAATTGCTTTACTTATCTTGTTCCTACTTTTGAAAGAACATTCTCGTTAGATTTTGCTAATGCCTCTATGAGAAAAGGTAAGAATGTTTCTTTTGGTATTTTGTGCGACCATTTTGAGCAAAAAGAACCTAACTTTATTGATTATTTTGTGAAGGTTCAACACGAGAAAGTTGCTAAGGGTAAGAAAGGTCTTAAACTACCACTTTGGCATACTTTTTGTCAAGAGCTTTTCCTTTTGTCCAAAAGCAAGAATGGTATGTAAGTTTGGCTTATGCTTATCTTGTGTTTATCTAAGGTCATTGAGGTAAAGACTCTTAACTATGAGTATTGTGATATTCTTTATCTGTTGAGTCATAATGAGATTGGCATATCTCTTAAGTTGTTAGGTTAAGTTGTTGGAAAGTGTGTAGATATTTGGGGATTAAAAATTGTGTTTGACCCTGCGGTTGTTTCTTATCATGGTGAAGTGTCTTTCTTTGGATTGGAGAGTATGATTTTTATTGTTTCTTATGACACTTGGTTATACCATAAAAGTGTGCACTTTGTTGAGAATTTTACAAGATTGTGATTTTGTTGGAAGCATGAAACGTTATCATCTCTTGATTCTTCTCATGAGTATTACTTTCCTTATAGTCAAGTTTGTGTTATTTGTGTTGAAGATGTGTTCTTTATAGCTTATGACACTTGGCTATATCATAAGAATGCTACTTTTGAGTGCAAGGTTGAGAACTTTGATCTTTTAGCTTGGACATACAATGTTTTGATTGTGATTAGCTTGGTACTTATGTTTGCCCCTTTCTTGGTTTTTCAAGGTCCAAATTCGAGGACGAATTTCTTTCGGGGGGGGGGGGGGGTATGGGGGGGGATGATACATGCCGGATGAGCATGCCTAACAATTTCCAAATCAACATCATAGCATTGAAGTGCTTTAAAGGAGTCAAGATCAAGAAGGCTATACTTGTAATAATTGACCAAGCTCCTTAGAATTAGCTTAGGGGTATTTGGATTATTTGTAGCCAAATACCCACTCTAGTATAAATAGCCCTTTAGGCTTTTATTTTAGGTAGACTTGATGAATGACAAACTTGAAGACATGTAAGTCTCACTCTTTATCCTTATCTTTTAACTAATGCATTTATGTTTATGCCTTTAATTTCTTTATTGTTTTCATTAGTGCTAAATTAATCTTAGTTGGTGAGCAATTAGTAGTCGATGCTTAATTGCTATTTAATAACTTTATCCGGATTTTCAAGAGTTGCCAATATCTTGAGGGCTTCATCGCTTGGGGTTACAATTGATTGAGTTCATAGAGGTAATTAGGCTTCATATCTTAATTGGTTCTTGTTCTTCCAATCAATTATAGATCTAGCTCTTATTTTGGTTCTGTATATTTTGCTATATCCGTATTTTCGATACGATTCCGTATCACAAACCCATGTATAAATCCACTCTTATTGTTACGCCCCATGTTTTGGTACGTGACAGTACGCCGTAAGTAAATTGATGAAAGCTCGGAAATGAGATGTTACATTCCGCATTTTCGTACATTAAAGTTTTGTCGTAAGTTAATCAACGTAAGTTCGGGAATAGGATAATTTTGGGAATATAAGTAAAACTACCCTCTATAGCCCCTCAAAATTTTAATAGCTCATGTTTTGTCCTATGTACAAAAAATGGCCCTTCGGCCCAAACGTATTGCATATAGTAGCCGAAAGGAATGAGTATAACAACACAAGCGCCTGTAGCTCAGTGGATAAAGCGCATGTTTCCTAAGCTGAAGGCCGTAGGTTCAACCCCTACCTGGCGCGATAGAGTAACCCTTTTTTGCCTTTTTAAATATACTTCTGAATCTGATAAGTATTAGCTAACAATTGAATGAAATATGTAATGCAGGTCATATTTCACTCACTAAGAAGGTGGTTGAGTGCTATATACTATTTTGCCTGCACATGATGTTTAGATTATTAAATTTCATGTGTAGCTTGTTTTCAAGATATGCTATCATGATAGTTTCTTATTTTTATATGATGGAATAATTAAATGATAATGAGTTTTAAGCTATCGAATTTGAGTGAAGCATGAGCACCAATCTCGGGATTGATTTTCTACCAAATCCAACTTGAGATTTCAACGTGACAGTATTTACAATATTTTACTATGTCAACTTAAGAAGGTGTATATTAAGAAGGTGTTAGTAACCCAACATTATTTTGCAATGTATAAATATTGTATCCTAAGTTCGACAGTGTATCCTTAGTGTATATTGAGCCTATCTTGAGTGTGCTTGTGTATCTAAAGTGTATATATTTGTGTACCCCAAATGTATTTTGTATCGTGAATGTATAATCTGTCTGAACAATGTATCAAAATTGTATATAATGTGTATTTTCTAATATGTAAACATAGTATATATAAATTATATACAATTTTGTATGTGTAATGTGTGCACACTGTGTGTTTGAAGTGTATCATGTATTTTTGTATAGTAACAGTCTTTTTTGTATATATTTTGTATAGTTATATCTATTTTGTATATATTTTGTATAGTTACATCTATTTTGTATATTTTTTGTATAGTGACAGTCTATTTTGTATATTTTTTGTATAATGACAGTCTATTTTGTATATTTTTTGTATAATGACAGTTTATTTTGTATATGTTTTGTATAATGACAGTCTATTTTTGTATTTTGTGTAGTGACAGATTTTGTATATATTTTGTATAATGACGGTCTAGTGTATATAAATTGTATAGTGGCAATCTATTTAGTATATTTTTGTATAGTGACAGTATATTTTGTATATATTTTGTATAGTGACGGTCTATTGTATATAAATTGTATAGTGATAGTCTATTTTGTATATTTTTTGTATAATGACAATCTATTTTGTATATTTTTGTAACAGTCTATTTAGTATAATTTTTTTATAATGATAATTTATTTTGTATATTTTGTATAGTGACAGTCTATTGTATATAAATTGTACATCGACAGTCTATTTTATATCATTTTTGGATAGTCTATTTTGTATATATTTTGTAATATACCAATATTCAAAAAAAAAAAGAAACTTGCTCTCCAGTCTAATACAGTCTAAAAATGTAATACATGGTCTACCTCTACATTGGATAAAATAATACAATTGAGATTTGCATATGTGATTTTTTGTTTGACAATAATTATGGAAGTGATAAAGAGTGAAAGCTAACGGTGACGATAAAACAAGAGAATTTGTTGAAACGGGAAGATAAGAACTACCCCAAGAAAATAAAAGGTAGTTAAAACCTAATAAATAAATAGGTTTTAAAAAGTGGATTCAAAAACATAAAAAGGTAAATAAATAGGAAGAAGGAGAGAAGGAAAGCCATCAAATTGAACCCAAGTAGAAACCCAACGACTTGCACCCTTTGTAAAAACATAAAAATGGACGCTTTATCTTGGATGGAAGAACCGAACTTTATCGTGAAATTGAAATCGAAACCAGTCAGTCTATCATGATAGTTTCTTATTTTTATATGATGGAATAATTAAATGATAATGAGGTTTTGCAAGGCTCTTCTCTTCTTTTAAGCTATCGAACTTGAGTGAAGCATGAGCACCAATCTCGGGATTGATTTTCGACCAAATCCAACTTGAGATTTCAGCGTGACAGTATTTACAATATTTTACTATGTCAACGTGATAAGGTGTATATTGAGAAGGTGTTAGTAATCCAACATTATTTTGCAATGTATAAATATTGTATCCTAAGTTCGACAGTGTATCCTTAGTGTATATTGAGCCTATCTCGAGTGTGCTCGTGTATCTAAAGTGTATATATTTGTGTACCCCAAATGTATTTTGTATCGTGAATGTATAATATGTCTGAACAATGTATCAAAATTGTATATAATGTGTATTTTCTAATATGTAAACGTAGTGTATATAAATTATATACAATTTTGTAAGTGTAATGTGTGCACCCTGTGTATTTGGAGTGTATCATGTATTTTTGTATAGTGACAGTCTTTTTTGTATATATTTTATATAGTTACATCTATTTTGTATATATTCTGTATAGTGACATCTATTTTGTATATTTTTTGTATAGTGACAGTCTATTTTGTATATTTTTTGTATAGTGACAGTCTATTTGTATATTTTTTGAATAGTGACAGTCTATTTTGTATATTTTTTGTATAATGACAGTCTATTTTTGTATTTGTGTAGTGACATATTTTGTATATATTTTGTATAATGACGGTCTAGTGTATATAAATTGTATAGTGGCAATCTATTTAGTATATTTTTGTATAGTGACAGTCTATTTTGTATATCTTTTGTATAGTGATGGTCTATTGTATATAAATTGTATAGTGATAGTCTATTTTGTATATTTTTTCTATAATGACAGTTTATTTTGTATATTTTTTTTATAGTAATAGTCTATTTAGTATATCTTTTGTATAATGATAATTCATTTTTGTATATTTTTGTATAGTGGTAGTCTATTGTATATAAATTGTACAGTGACAGTCTATTTTATATAATTTTGTATAGTGAATGTCTATTTTGTATATATTTTGTAATATACCAATATTTTGTATAGTGAATGTCTATTTTGCTTGCTAATTTGAATTTCGGCAGATCTGGCTGGTATATAGCTTTTCCTATGACCGTGAAGTTTTCCGGCTAAACCATTTCGGGCCAGAAATTATTTCTCCGGTGAACCTGTGTTTGTTTGTGTATTGTTGTTACTATGAACTTGTTATGCTGGAGATTTAATCTCCTTTGTAAGATCCATTTTTTTGACAGAGCTTGTGGGTCAGATATATAGTTCGGTGGCTAGCCACTAGAATTACTTTTGGGCTATAAAATGCATGTTGTAATTTTGGGCTACCGGATGATATTTGTTTTGCCCGATGGGCTATAAATGAAGTTCTCTCATCATTCTATTTCAAACAAGTGATAAGTAAATTTGTGAAGGTGAGAGGGTTAACAAATCGAGAAGATGAGTTTCGTCAAAGTTTGACATTTTGGGATAAAATACGGTCCGAGCTATAATACCCAGTATTTATGGACTAGTGTAATACAAGGTAATACATGACCATAATAATAAGGTGTACAAAGTGTGTTAAAAGTGAGTAGTATTTTAAGTAATTTGAGGTAATTTCTAATTATGTGCACAATTGGTAATTATTGGGTACTGGAATATTACCTAGTTAATTAGAAAATTATTAGATAAGAATTTATTTCCACTACGTGGCACCCCCCCCCCCCCCCAAATTAAGTGACTCATACACCTAGATTAAAAGGCGGCGAACTATACATAAGACACTTACGTGTAAAGTCATATACACAAGTCACTTGCCTTAAGATATGCAAGTGAGTAATCATATCGTGTTCTTCCTATTAGAATATCTTAAGTGAATTCATAACATCTTCAAATAATTCCTACAAAGATTCCAACGTAAGCAACCTCAACCAACGAGATTTCAACAAGATTTCTTGAAACAAAAATTCCAACGAGATTTCTTAATAACTTAAGTAACGTGAGATTTTGGGATTTTAAGAGAGCACGGTACAATCTTTCCCAAGAATATCACACGGATTTTTCCTTACTTCGATCCGCCGTTGCATGTTGTCGCAATTTATGTGTATTAGAGTGATTATCAAGAGAATCGGCTCGGGTATGCTAAGGCTATCCTTTCTTTCTTTTTGGCATGATCCATATGATACAAACGAAACGAGCAAATGCACAACTTCCATAAATGACTATATTCATAGAAATACTGGTTCCTATATTCTTGATTCCCCATAGGTCTTATTAATCTATCGTCTGTTCATGGGTCTCAGAAAATACATAAGCTGATAAAGCTTATTTAATGATATTAATCAAAGGTATAATGGTCTTATGACATTCCGAGAGATTTTATTGACGTACTTCTCATGCATTGCATTCATTTATACATGTACATTCATATATATATATATGGGAAAAGGTTACGGCGTTACATACGCACCACCACCTGATCAGCTGGTATACGTTGATGATGTTACCCACAGTGCGATATGATATAATGGGATGCCTTCAGTGGCTTGATGATGTTATGAACGCACATACCCATGCATGGTATGATATATATACGCATATGATTCACAGAGCTATTCA